TATTCTTTAGCATATCTTTTTCTTTAATGCATTGTAATTTAAAGATATACTATTTAGAAGTCTAGGTCTTTCAAAAAGGAAGATGAACAAATGCTTGGATAAATGGAATCTTGATAAACAAAACATTTTCTTACAGACTTTGTTCAGATACCAACATATTTTATTTTATAATAGATGCATAGTTTTTTGTGTTTTTTTTAGTTATTTTAAGATATTATATAATAGTAGTGATTTATTAGATACTTACACATGATTTTATGAAAAAAATTATAACATTTGGTCTAGAGGAAAATTTTAAGGTATTTTTAACAGAGAAGAGATATTTATTATTGTAATGCTAATTTGTATGCTAGAATATTTTTTGGTGTATATACATAGCAAAGGAAAAAATGAACAAAATTCCTATTACATCAGTATATATGTTTTTGAGCATTTATGGTGCTATTAACGGGGTTACAATTTTAATTTCTGGAGAACATGAAGAAAAGCTTGACTTTTTTTTTGTTTCTAATAGATTATCACGTGTTACAAATCTAATGTAGATATCCAGTGTCAAATGTATTAATGTTTGAGAAGGAGTATTACTCGTGCAGAGCTATCTTACTAATTGTTAGGATGGTAGAAGGAAGTAATAAAACCTATGAAAAAATTCTCTCACAATACATTCCAAGAAAAGTGAGAATAAAGCAAAACAGAGTTGTGTAGCTAATGTGCATGTGTTGCTGTGTGATACCAAAACGAAGGAAAAAAAATTGTATAGACGTCTGATTTCAAAATTTCTACTCCAGCAGAAATGGAGAACCAGATATAAATGTTCTGAAATTATCTAGTGTAATGTAAATTGAATTCATTATGGAATCTTTGTAAAAATGACAGTTTTCATTGGGGGAAGAATTTTTGAGTTCCTAAACACCTGTGAGATCTTGAAAGATGGTGAGAGATAGAAAAACATGGAAAACAAACTTTAAGGAAAGAGTTAACTCAACTGAGCAAAGAGTTGTACTATTAATGAGCGAGCTAAGCAAATCTAAGTCACAGAGGAAATGACAAAAAGAGATCATCATGTAAAAAAAATGATGGTTCTATTATCTGTTCATTAGTGTACTAGAAGCCCAGTGCGTGAAATCGCACCACCCCACCCCCTCACACGTGCCTCACCCCACTCGCACTCCCGCCCACCTGCGCACCCTCACTGCTCACCGCGCCCACCTCCCTATACCCACCTGCCTGCAGCCCACCACCCTGCCCACTTGCTGGCTGCCAGCCTTGCTGCAATCAGAGCCTGTGGGCCACAACACATGAGCCACAAGATCATGGGCCAGGGGGAGGTACTGAGAGGTGCTCCATGCACCTCCTGGTGACCAGTCTTTGGTTGTTATGGCGTTAGGGCATTACAGCCACAGGCCTTTTATAATAGAGAAGCCTGATGCATGAAATTTATGTAAGAGTAGGCCTTCCTTCCCCAGCTGCCGACACCAGGCCTCCCTCTGGCACCTGGGACCGGGCTTCCCTCGAAGCCCCAGGGTCACCTGGAAGGTCACCAGTGTAATTAGCATGCTACACTTTTATTATTATAGATTTGGATAGTAAGAACATCACATGAAAAGGTGAAGGCCTGCAAAATAGAGATCATAATGAAAGATACAAGAAAGATTTCCCGTATTTGAAACCTAACCTAACTTCAACATGAATATTAGAAAGTGTTTCAAAAAGTGAGGGTGGAGCTAAAGTTCTTATATAGTTTGTTTTTAAACTTAAAATAGAGTATTTACTATGTCTTTTCAGAAAGTATATTAATGAACTAAGTTTAGGAATTATAGGGTTAAGAGTTGAACAAAAAGTTCCATATCAACCCTTTAGGCAAGCTCAAAATGTCTTTAGATAATACTACCCTGTGTTTCCCCGAAAAAAAGACATCCTCCGAAAATAAGACCTAGCACATGGAAAGATAAGACATCCCCTGAAAATAAGACCTAGTGCAACTTTGGGAGAAAAAATTAATATAAGACACTGTCTTATTTTCGGGGAAACAGGGTACTAATTAAAACATTTGAATTAGAGTATATCAGTGTTAAGAGTGTTAGAGAAATAGATAAATGGATTGAAAGGTTTGGTTCCTCAAAGGGAAAACCAAATCAAGTATCCAATAAAAAAGAAATGCTAGGAAGGTAAATATCACATATGTGTACAGCACATCTTATCAAGTCATGAGATTTCTCATCAGAAATTTAAATGAAGATATGAAACTACTACTTTCAATGCTGTCAGTGTTGGTGACTGATCATTCTTCTCAATAAGTCAAACAAGCTGTAACTTGCCAAACTAGATCCCTTTCCCTCCACTGTTAAATCCTGTCAGTTTCTGAAATCTCTGGAATCTGTTCCTTTTTCTTTATATTGAACATTGATGCTCTAGTTCAAGCTATAGTCCTCTCTCCTCTGGTCTACCAAAATTAAATCCTTACTTATATATCAGTATCTACTGTGGTTCCCCTTCAGTCCATTCTGCACAGTGTAGTGTGCAGTGATCTGTTCCAAATGCAAATCTAATAATTTTGTGTTTCTTGTCTTCCATATATATTGTAATACCTCAAATTTTAAAAACCTTTTATTAGAAATTACAAACTAGATTTTCATCAAGCCCTTTGCCACCTCTCCAACTAATCTTACTCAAGCATTTCCTTTTATATAAATGAAATTATACATTCTCATAGTACCATTTACCTCTCCCTTTAACATTTATTATACTTACAGTTTTACACTTGTGTATGAATATTTGATGAATGTCTGGGTTCTTCACTACATTATAAAAGCAGATCCATGTCTGTTTTCCATGATCATTTAATTTCACTAACTAGAATGTGGCTTGGCTTTACAGTGGAAAATAAATATTGTTTTCATTAATTAACTGATTGATTACTGTAAAGAGAACTGCATGGTAATTAGGACAATTTATTTGTTTAACCTCTATCTCCCAAAGCTTTCTAGTCAGTTGGTTCTGGATTTAGATGCTCAAGTATAATCTAAGTTGGAGGCTTACAGAGAACATTGTGTAACTATCAAATGACAAGTATGGGGATATTTCAAGAATGTGTCAAGGCATGCTTATGTTTGTGTGAAATAGAGTGAAAGGGCTATTCAGATCATACAGTGGTCGAGAAATACTAATTAAAATCAGCAAGGAGTAGGACTTTGGATTGGTTGGATATCTTCCTGCCTCTCCCCCCCAATAGAAACATAATATGTTATTTTTCTAGTTGAAATCCCCATTTTCCTTTTGTGCTTTTCTGCTTCTTACATTCTGTGTGGCTTAGAAATGTATTTGCTGCTGTGGCCACTTACTTTTAGAGAAGAAGCAGGAAGTTTTTGTACCAACTTATTCCTCAGAAAGCAAAGACCATTGTCTGAAGTTGGTACTGTACTGTGTGGTCCAAGGTGAGGGCAGGCCTGTTTCTCCCCAGGGTTGTGCATCACACTGGGAAAAATAGTTTGCCATTGGATGGGAGGAAAGGCTGTTTCTACCTCTTCTTCTATGGCAAAACCAGGTCCCTTCTGTGTATAGCTTTTGTTTTGTGTGTTTTTTTCTTTCCTTAGGTGCAGATGATCCATTTCTCCTGCAGTTCCATTGGGACTACTGCATGAGTAAAAATGAAATGACTTTATGTGAATAAAAATGAAGAGAGACATTGATACAAATTTAGTTTCTTTGTTGTTGTAAAGATGTTTGGTTTCACAATGTATATGTAATATTTACTAAAATTGAAGTAATATTTCTTCAACTAATAGCATTGCAGACATCAAAAGGTTGAAGCATGGTTAAGAAAATTGTACGTGTATACCACTCTAAAGTATAAGGTGTATACTTTAAGGTAGTGGTGGAATACTTTTTACATCTATCCTGTGAGTTAATAGAATAGTTGATAGAGTTAGGATAAAGAAAAGGAAAAATTCTGGGGGTAGGGATAAGAGGGTGCAGCATTTTGTAAACATACTGAAAACATACCTGGAGAACTTGATCTTGTTCTCAATCCAAGTGCTGATTTTCAGTTGTATTCGATACTAGTTTCACTTTTTCCCCCTGTCACTTCCCTTTAAACATCATCCTAATGCTGAACACAGTGCCTTGCGTATTCCAGCCTCTTGATAAATGAATATTTGTTAGTTGAATGAAAGAATAAATGGGTGAAGAGTGAACAGATGAATGACAAAATTCTAGACGTCACAATTCAAATAGATATACACGTCAACTTCCCTGAACAAGATTTGAAAACAGAGGAATCTGTTAATAATTTAAATAATGTAGACAAAAGTATTGATTTGATCTAAACATTTGACAATGGAGTTTTTAGAAGTTGGATTACTATATCCAAAATGCAAGTGGTAAATAATAAAATGAAGTAAGATAGCTTGAAATGAGCTATACTATGAAATAGGTATTCTTTAATGTTGGGATAATTGATGGCTAGGCTCGCAAGGTAATTTTAAAAAGATTTTACTCTTATTCTAGCTTGACTTATTTTAGAATTTTTCCAAGTAGAAATTGTTTTGAACTTCTACTTAAAATGAATCGGTTTTCATTTCTGAATTATCATAGATTTTAATTTAGTAAAATTTAATCAATAGATTTTACTATGTATCATTTATTGGGTTTAATGCTATATACCTAGAAAATATTTTTCCTGACATTTAGATCTATGTGATTAATATCATTTGTTGGTGTTACTTATTTGAATATTTAAACATGGTTCTGGTAAAGAGTGTGGACTATGGTGTCAGACAGATTTGGATTTAAATCCCCAATCTGCTACTTCTTAGAAAATTATTCAACTTGTCAAACCTTAGTGAGATCTTATATAAAATGGAGATGATACCTGCTATAAAAGGTTTTTGGGAGGATGTAATAAACTAATATATGTGAAGTGCTTAGCACAGTGTTTGGAATATAGTAGACATTCAATAACTTGGAACAACTGTTTTCCCCCATCGTGTTTTGTTCTGCAGCTTTCCCCACAAATAAACCAGATAAAGATGCAAGACATGTAATAAAAGTGGTAAGTATTGCCCTTAAATTTGTATTTCACATACAAATTTTTCTTTTCTACCTTGTTTTTGTAAAAATGTTTCTACCTTATTTTTGTAAAAATGTTTCTAAACATATTTTTTATAATTTTACTTATCATTAAGCCTAATGTTATGATGTAGTTTCACATTGTAAAAAATCGAAGACTGGAGAACTTTGTTCTTTTGTGTTAACATTTATAACCCTTGTATCTTATCTAGCTATAGATCCTCTTTTCCTTCCCCCACTTCCCCTCTTTCTTCCTATCCTTCCTATATTCTCTAGATGGTGTGGTTGTTACCAGCAGGGGTGAGGTTTTGGTTTTGTTTGTATCCCCTGTATCTAGTGCAGTGAATGAAATATAGTAGGTACTCAGTAAAGATGTTATGTAGAATGAACCATCAGGTAGTTTGCAGTGTATTGTATTCCCTGATGTGCCTGTTGGTACACATTGTGTGTCTGTGTATGTATATAGCTCTGGGTGCTTTTAATAAGTTCTTTTAGTAAGATACTTTCATGTGTAAGCGTGTATAGAGATAGCATTATAACGTGTTAAAGTTAAAAATGAGATTCTTTTAAGTTTACTTAGTATTTTTGGGGGGAATTTTTAGTGGAAATCTGGTGCCTGTGTTTTATAACAAATGATTAGAGTACTATTATATAATACATATGTATATTCATATTTTCCTAGTTGCAATACCAATTTTATCTTTAGGATTAAAAAATAAAATTAATTGTTCTTTTCTTTTATAGGAGTATCAAGAAAATGGCCCATTATTTTCAGAACTTAAATTTTACCAACGAGCTGCAAAAAAAGAATGTAGTAAGTAAAATTAGCAAAGCAATTTACTTCCATATATATACTTGCTAAAGTGAGTGTAAATATTTTTGTCTTTTTCTAGCCTTCTGGAAAATTCTTTTCAATTGGAAATGTTATTGTAAAGTGATTCAGTTAACTGTTACAACATATAAAAAAGACAGATGGTGTACAAGTTTTGATATTGTTGATTCAAGCTACCAATAGTTCTCTAAGTATCTATATACTAGGAGCCCACTTGGAGCCCATTTGCAGGAAGATTCCTGCAAGCAGCCCCCCACCCCCACCCCGTCCTGCCCCACCCCACCCGCCCCTGCTTTCCCTTTGGCAGCCGCCTTGCTTTCTGCTTTCCTCCCTCTTCCTTCTAAGCTGTCTTCAGTCCTCACTCCTCCCTCCCTCAGCGTATGCAAATTAACCACCATCTTTGTTTGGTTGATTTGCATACTCGCTCTGATTGGCTGTGGTCGTAGCGAAGGTAAGGCCAATTAGCAGTTTTTACTTTTGTCTTTTATTAGTGTAGATATAAAATGCCAGTATCCGTGATAACTAGGACAACCAAACAACCGGTCACCGGTCATCGTGTCGTGCATTTAGCACCTCTCAGTTCTCTCCCCCAGCCCCTGAGCAGCAGCTTGCATGGCGGGCGGGGTAAGGCAGTTCTTGTGGCTTGTGGCCCTCACAGTTTGGCAGGATGGGGCAGCTCTGGGCTCCTGGCTGGTAGCTTGTAGCTCTTGGTAGTAGGGCGGGGCTCACAGTGACGGCTCACACATGATTCTGTGCATGGCATCTAGTAAAAAATAATAGAATGAAATTTAAAAAAGAACAAACAAAACACATCCATTTGGATAGGAAGGTTTCAAGGAAAAAATAATTAAAATGGGCTGTAGATATTTAAACAAAAGGAATGATCTTAGAATGGATTAGGATAGGTGTATAGATATGATTAAACATTACGATTTAGAAAATAAGTTAAAAATGCTAGAATGTGAATGTTAATCGGAGCTGAATATCAGATATGAAAACTACCAGTTAGAGGATTTGAATGTGAAATGAGATGAGCAGAGCTAAAGAATAATAAAAACATTTTATAAACACTATGTTATACATGGACTAAGTGAAGCTTTAAGGAAGTTCATTTGAATAATGACTTTATAGTCAAGGTCCTTTACATTATGTTCAGGAAAAAGAATGATGAGTCTAGCCTCAATAATTAACTTTTTTTCTCTTAGTAAAATCTTCTAAGCATTAATACTCTAGTGTTTACTGACTGCTTAAAGAATGTCAGGGTGACAAATAGAATCCATTAAACTTGATTGTTTATCAGTAGAGCTGTCTTAATCATTAACATACATGGTAGAAAAGTGAAAAATTAATAAGTTACCTGATTGTTTAAGTGGATTTGATTTTTTTCAAAGCTACATTTAATTAAAAAAAAATTCCTTATACTTTCAGAGTAAGAGGATTTCTCTGCCAAATTTTTGTTTTGTTTGTTTGTTTTTACTACCATGGCTTTAGATTTTTTAAATAATAAGGAAGAAAATCCTTTGGTGGACATGTTATATTTAAAAAATTTACTACCATAGAAGGAAATTATCTTTTTCATGAATACAAACATTTGTGTACATGATAACTATATTTTATGACTATGACTACTTTTGTTCTGGTTATAACATATTTAACTTAAAAATTCTCCAGTAGAATTTTAAGCCATTACATAGATATCTTTAATTTATAAAACGTTTTTTAGGAAGATCTTGTTTCTATTTAGGTTAGCTAAGTAAGTTTTAATATCAATGTAAAAGTAAGAAATACCTTTCTAAAAACTTGTGTTTTTTTTTCTTTTAAATTTGTCTTTGCAGTAAAAAAATGGATAGAATGCAAACAACTTGATTATTTAGGAATTCCTGTGTTTTATGGATCTGGTCTTACTGAATTCAAGGGAAGAAGGTAAAATGGAATTATTATCCTGTATAGTAAAAGGCTAACATGCAAATCAACCGAACAGTGGGACGACCAGTCACAATGATGCACTCGGGGGGAGTGCCTGCTTAGGTAGAAGCCAGGCTCCCAGCCGGTGAATGCAGCGGCAGTGGCAGTAGTCTCTGCCGCCTCTGCAGCGGTGCTAAGGATATCCAACTGATGGCTTAGGCCTGCTCAGGGAGTGGGCCTAAGCCATCAGTCGGACATCCCCCAAGGGCTCCCAGAGTAGGAGAGGGTACAGGCTGGACTGAAGAACGTTTCCCCTAATGCACCAATTTCGTGCACCGGGCCTCTAGTAATCAAATATTGTCCCATCACTATTACTAATGTGGCCAATTAATTATCTGTTGCTATATAAAAAATTACTCAAACTGCGCTGTTTTTTTAACAACAAACTGATATCTCTTTTTATAAACTATATTTTTTATTGATTTCAGAGAGAGAGAGAGGGAAACATCAGTGATGAGAGAGAATCATAGATCACCTGCCTCCTGCATGTCCCTCCCACTTAGGGATCAAGCCCGCAACCTGGGCATGTACTCTGACAAGGAATTGAATTATGACTTCCTGGTTCATAGGTTGATGCTGAGCCACACTGGATGGGCAAACTAATATTATCTTAATTTCTGTGGGTTCATCTTTATATATATAAAAGGCTAAGCAACTGTCCAATCAGCAGTTATGGTGCACAATGACCACCTGGGGGCAGATGCACTGACTGGTAGCTATGACATGTACTGACCACAGGGGACAGACACGCAGGGGGCAGAAGCTATCAATGAACAATGAGTTATCAAGTTCATTGTCTTGGCAGCAGAGGTTCTTGGGTATTGCTCCCCGGAACCAGAGAAGAGGGAGCTCGATTCTGGGGTGTGTCACCTGAGAATTGCCCTCTTGCAATCCGGGAACCCTTGGGGGATGGCAGAGAACCGGTTTCCGCCTGATCCCCACAGGTCAGGCCAAGGAATCCCACCTGCTGGAGGGACCCTGCTCACTTCACAGATGCCCTTTGAGCCATGGCGCTACCCCAGGTGCGGCTGGTTGGAGAGGTTGGCTCTAGGGTGTGTCTGGCCCATCTGGCCCAGTCCCGTCCTGCCAGCCACTTTTTAACTAATTTCCTGTCAATGTGCATGAATCTGGGCACCTGGGCACTAGTTATCTACAATTGCCTTATCTGAATGGTGCTAGCTCAGGACTTCATAGGAGGATGTATTCAGCTGTCTGTTGGGCTGCAGTCATCTCAAGGCTAGCCTGGGGAAGGTTCTGCTTTAAATTGAGGTCTGTGGCTGTTGGCAGGCCTAAGAAGATCTGTTGCTAAATTCACTCATGTCATTGTTGGCAGGCCTCAGATCCTCTCCATGCAGGTCTCCCCATTGGTGTTACAAAGACATGGCAGCTGGCTTTCCCTAGACCCGTGGTTGGCAAACTGCGGCTCGCAAGCCACATGCGTCCCTTTGGTCCCTTGAGTGTGGCTCTTCCACAAAGTACCATGGCCTGGGCGAGTCTATTTTGAAGAAGTGGCGTTAGAAGAAGTTTAAGTTTAAAAAATTTGGCTCTCAAAAGAAATTTCAATCGTTGTACTGTCGATATTTGGCTCTGTTGACTAATGAGTTTGCTGACCACTGCCCCAGACCAAGTAACTCAAAGGAAGGAGGGAGGCGCACACACATATACAGGAGCATACATCCAAGAAGAAAGTCAGTCTTTTTAAATCAAATGTGAGAAGTGATGTCCTATCATTTCTACTGTATTCTCTTTGCTAGAAACAAGTCACTAAAAGTTGCCCATACCCAAGAGAGAATTAATGAAGCTCTATCTCTTGAGGAGAGGCAAAACAATTTTTAGAAATATTTTTAAAACCACCAAATATAGATAATCACATATAAATCACTAACAGTAATATTAAAGGAAAAAAGAAATGCTGTCATTTGTTAGGTAACCATTTTGATCTTTCAACGGCCTTTTAAAATAGGTGATACGTCTTTCTTGGGTGAAAAAATAGGCTCAGAGGTTAATGCTTTGCTCAGAAGGTCTTTAAATACTTTAAGTGAAAACAAAATGAACAAACAATAATCTTGTTACAAAGTAAACGGCTGCCAAAAAGAGACTGAGTGGCTAAGCATGGTAAATCCCTATCATGCAATATTGTACAACTCTTCAAGTCAGTCAGCCAGAGTTATACCCATTGACTTGGAAGGATTTCAGTGAGATCCTACTGAAAAATGCATGATGTAGAAAAGTGCATATAATAAGATCGCATTTTTGTAAAATGAAGACAAGTTTCTATATGTCTGTGCTTGTGTGTGCACACATAGTTAGATATAGAATAGGGTCCTATGTGGGTATGTAAGTGAAGGGAAGAAAAGCAGGGGTAGAGATGCCAAACAGAGAAGGAAGGAAAAGGTGCATTTAAGAAAAGGCATGTTTCTAAATGGATAGAGACAGTACACATGCTTTTGTAAGGTCAAAAACAAATATAAATAACATTTTCTGTATGGACAAGACATTTGTTCAAGGCTATATGGTGAGAAGATAATGGAGTCAAAATGAACTAAATTCAGGACTACTTAATATAGATTGTTTTCCCCTTGTGACCTAAGACAGCGGTCGCCAACCAGAAGTCCATGGACCCCTGGTGGTCCATGAGGTCGGAAAGCTTGGCCACCACTGATCGAAGACAGTGTGGTCTAAGCACAGCATTCTCTTCTAGGAAACTAACTTCAAAGTAAAATGCTAAATAGCATCTCTCTGCAAAAGAACAGCATTATTAATGTGCATCCATTCTCTAATGGTTCATATCACATTGTTCTCTATTGTTAGATTGGGTATACTTTTTCTTTTTGTTCATAAATAGAAAGTTTCAGGAATTGCCATCTTAGGATCTCTTCTTGGCATCTTCCTCTTACAGTTACAGATTTATGGTGATGGAAAGACTAGGGATGGATTTACAGAAGATCTCTGACCAGAATGGTACTTTCAGAAAGTCAACCGTCCTGCAGCTAGGTGTTCGGATGGTAAGAAGGAATGAGTTCTTTCACATGGTTCTATTTTCAGATTATTTGCTTGTTACAAAGTGCTGCCCTTTGTGGAATTATCAGGGGAGGAAGGATTATTGCTCTAGGAATGTCAGTTATTGAGAGTAAGGGGCTATTTCGGTGAAATTTATAATGGTGGGCTCTGTAAGTAACAGTGTGTGCTGTGTTTGGCACTACCAATTCGATTAGGCATTGGTTCTACCATCTGATTATTCCCACACAGCTTTGTTTTACACACAAGAGTAAGCTTGCATTCCCTTTAAGAATAACATCTCTTTTGTCAGTTATATTTATCATAATGCAAACTATAGCAGATTATATTATTTCCCATACTAAACGTGACGGTATGGGGGTGCTATACAGTTTTTATTATGAGTTTGGGATGGTGGCAGTAATTAGTATGGAAATGAATAATACATACTTTGCCAAATAAGGAGCAATGAAATCTTAATAGTACCCATGCACACATTTTGTTTATGCCACATATTTGTCTTATCTTGTTTGTGTTTGGTTTGCCTAAGCTCCATTTTATTTATTTCCATTTTAAATAGACTGAAAATACTCATGCCAGGTTGAGATGTGGCAAATAGAATTCATTAATCTTCCCATTTGTCCATTCACCCATCAACCCAGCTGGCAAATGTTTATTGAGTGTAGGTAACATGCAAGGCTCAAAGGATTCAATGATGAAACCAAGGTTTATTGCATTTCTGTACAGAGGGAGAATGCCTTTCTCTGTGCTGATGGACAAGGTGTTCTGTTCTGGGATCCCCAAAACGTGATTTATAATTATTCCTCGAGAAAGGAATTTCTGAGTGGGCTTCCGGATTATTTCAGTTTAGATCTCTGATTTTATTGTGTTTTTGCTCTTGGCACAGTGTGATTTGGCCACCGGGCTGTTAGGAGCACAGGCATTGTTGAATCTTGGTTTTCTTTAATTAGAGTTTCAATTAAAACACTTGATATGAGAGGGTCATTTTACTTAACTTTTCTCAGGATGAGTAGCCAGTACATGTAATACTTTAGAAAAAATAAAATAATTGCAAAGCATGTCACTGTCATTATTAGTATGAAAAAAATAAAAATCTAAACTCAAAATCTTCAAGTTGATCATGAATTCTAAATAGACATTTGTATAACCTTATTTATTTCTTTTCACAGTTGGATGTACTGGAATATATACATGAAAATGAGTATGTTCATGGCGATATAAAAGCAGCGAATCTACTCTTGGGCTACAAAAATCCAGATCGGGTAAATGCAATATTAAACTTTGCTTTCATAAGGAGTCCTCATAGTGCCATACTGAGATATTCAAAAAAACAAACTCCTAATCCAGATGGGTTTACAAATGAGGACTTAACATGATGAATGTTGTAATTTATCTTACCTTGCTTATCTAATTTTTAATGCACTAAACTAATAAGTGACTAGAATGAGGAAATTGAGACTCAGAGGGTTAAATAATTTGCTAATGGGCAACTAGTTCACAAGTGGCTGAACAGGAATTTGACCTGAGCAAATACAAAGATCCATCAGTATCCAGTGGGAGAAGAGATGGGTTTTTATGCAGAGAAAAAATAAAACTGTCACATTGGCTTCTTTTGTGTGTAAACAATTAAGCTTTCAATAGAGCAGCATTTCCAGTAGAACTTTCTGCGATGATGGACATATTCTGTATATTATTGTCCAGTGCAGTAGCCATTAGCCACATGTAAACACGTGGCCATTAAGCATTTGAATTGTGGGTACACCACCAAATACTGGCTAGAACATGGAGCAACAGGAACTCTTATTCATTGGTGATGGGAATGCAAAATGATATGACCACTGAGGAGGATCATTTGGTAGTTTTACAAAACTGAACATGTTCATAATATTTGATTTAGCAGTTATACTCCTTGTGATTTTCCTGAAGGAGCTGAAAACGTAAAAACACACAAAAACCTACCCATAGGTATATATAGCAGCTTTCAAAATTTACAGCAACAAAGATGTCCTCTAATAGGTGAGTAGATAAATTGTAGCATATCTGGATAGGGCAGTATTACTCAATATTAAAAAGAAATGAGTGAGACATGAACAGGCATGGAGGAACCTTAAGTAATGCATATTATTAAGTGAAAATCTGTATAATTCCAATTACATAACATTTTGGAAAAGGCAAAACTATAGAGACATAGGGTTAGTTGGGTTTGTTGTTGTTGTTAATGAGTTCTTATATATTTTGGATATTAACCCCTTATCAGATACATAGTTTGCAAATATTTTGTTCCATCTCATAGGTTGCCTTGTTATGTTGTTGATTGTTTTCTTGGCTGTGAGAATATTTTTAGTTTGAAGTACTCTTGTTTGTTCTGGGTTTGTTGCCTGTGCTCTTGGTGTATATGCAAAAAATCATTGCTAAGACCTGTGTTTGTGGATTGGAAGAATTAATATCATTAAAATATCCTTACTACCCAAGGCAATTTATAGATTCAGTGCAATCTCTATCAAAATTTCAATATCATTTTTCATAGAAATAGAAAATACCATCTTAGAGTCTGTATGGCACTACAAAAGACCTGAATAGTTAGAGCAAGAACAAAGCTGGGGACATAATAGTTCCTGATTTCAAACTATATTACAATGCTAGAGTAATTAAAATGCTATGCTATTGGCATGAAAACAAAACAGTCAATGGAACAGAGTAGAGAGCTCAGAAAGAAACCCAGGCATACATAATCAAGTAATCTTTGACCAAGGCACCCACAGGAAAAGGACGGTCTCTTCAGTAAATGGTGTTGGGAAAGCTGGATGTCTACATGCAAAAAATGAAATTGGACTTTTATCTTACACTGTACACAGAAATTAACCCAAAATGGATTAAAGACTTAAATGTAAGACCTAAAATCATAAAACTAGAAGAAAACATAGGGGAAAAGTTGAATTTTAATTAATTTAAATTTTAAGAACCCCCATGTGGCTGGTAGCCACTATATTAAAAATGAGTCTATAAAAAATGTAGTTGAATATTTAAGTGAACATTCCACGGGGGAATACCTTGATTGTTCAATGCCGACATGCTCAGTGTGTTTCTATCCTCCATACCGCCCACTCAGTTGAAGAGGAGGCCTCACAGGTAGAGGAGGACACTTTTCCACATCAGTATCTGAGTGATAAATAGGCCTTAGAAAGCCTGTCATGACTTAGGGTTATGCTGGACTGACAATCAAGAGACCCGGGTTTAGTCCCAGTTCTGACACTGAGAGAATTGCAGCCCTCAGCAAATGATTTAACCTGTGTGGACTTTGGCTTCCTAGTGTATAATATCTGGGGCTTTGTCTAGGTGGTCTCAAAAGTTCCTTCTAGTCCTAAAATTCTGTGATTCTCTTTAAACATGTTTTTTGTTTGTCTGTTTGTTTTTTCTTAGTTTAGTTTTTTTTAATTTTATTTATTAAATTTATTGGGATGACATTAGTCCACACGACCGTATAGGTTTGAAAATGTGTTTTTCAAGTTCATTGCAGAAGGTGATGTTCCCAATAATGTTTCCCGGGTGTCTTGCCTGTTGTTGCATAGCTAAAGACGTTCAAGTGTTTAAATTTAAGCAAATTTTAATGTTCTGGGAGCAGGAATCGTAGCAGCTGACCTGTGTCTTGCGGCAAACACTCGTTTTCAGATTCCCCAGGATATCCGCAGGGTAGGGTCATAAGCCTCATTAAAGCTGCTTGTTCCTTGTTTGCTAGAGGGAATTCTAACACAATCCATTTATCAATCACAGTTACTCGTAAGATGGAGTGTGAATGTGTTTGTAAGAACTTTGCATGATATGTGTTTGCCATTTAGAGATAACCTTTTCTTTGTTGAACACGCATGAAATGTAGTCCTGTAACATATGTCCATATTTTAGTATCTCCAGAGGAGTGTGATGTGTCTTAGCTTGGTGTGATACCATGCTATAACTAGATGGCACAGCTGGTACTGCTGTTAAATGTGTGTGGTATCAGGTGCATAGGGTTACACCCTGGATTAGATCACATGGTGGTGTATGTAGTCTCTTAGAGCAAGCGTGTTATGTTCTTTGTAGTGAGGTTTTGCTGTATATATTCAGTTGAGTAAAGAGATATTGAATTTGTTCGTATGATTTTAGTTAAACTTTGAACATTTTTTTGAGTTTAATATTATTTAAGATACACACTTTTGCTGGATTGTCCCAGTATAATTATTTGTCATATGAATTTGTTGTTTTTGAAATTTAATAACTTGTATGTATGTGGTATTCATAGACCAATTCTGTCACTTACTATTTTGGGATTCTTTTAGTATTATGTGTCAAATGAAAATAAAGTCATCCCCAAATTTTATTTCCATCACATATTCTATAATGTGTTAATACTACTATTTTTTAACTCTGTTATCTGATACTTTGTAGTGTTCCTGTTATCAGAATTTATCCTTAACATGTGTATGTTATGATGCCTGATTTTAAATCAGATTAGATTCATATTTTTAACATTCTGATTTCAGAATACTATATAAATGACAGCTATAAGAATGTGGATTACTAAGTCTTATTGGAGAATGATGATGAGTAAAAAATATTGAAGAAAACAACATCATAAATATAATTTAGAAGCTATGTTCTCCATATTCAAAATGAGTATTTTGTAAGGCTTACTTGCTAGGACTGAGACTCTGAGACAGGTGAGAATTTGTTAAGTATGTAATTTTACCTCTAAGAGGATAATACATTTTTTTTTAATTTTAAAAAATATTCCAAGTAATTGAGGATTCCATGTACCCATCACTTTGACTTAAAAATTAAGGTTTTGAAATTTTGTTTTATCTATTTTTTGGCTGAAGAATTTAAAATAAATTATAGACATCAAGAAATTTTGCTTCCAAGTACTTAAATATTTATTGTATTTCTGAAGAAAAACGACAGTTCATCATATTATAACAATGCCATTAACCACACTTAACAAAATTACATCATCCTAATCTATAATAACAAAAGCACCATATGCTGATTAGGCTGGACAGCCAAATGGCCTTCTGGACGTCCTTCCAGAAGACCTTCCAGAGGAAGCTGGGGCTGCAAGGGCAGAGACAAGCCACCGTGGCTGCTAGCGCTGAGCCCCTTGCACTAATTCCGTGCTTCAGGGCTCTAGTTATCAAAGTTTTATTTCTTCCACTTTCTTCTTTACTCTAAAGTCCATGAGAAAAAGGGAATACAATTTCTATTCTAATTGTACTTCAGCTCTCTTTTCCCTTTTTAAAAAAAAATTACATATTGCAGTAGATTCTCTGCCACAACTTGCAGTAATTGAATAGCCTATATCATGTGATCTCTTTGGCCCCTTTTAACTTTCATTGCCTCAGACTTCCTGGATAAAACCAGTTGTTAGCCACAATCTGATTTACGAAGCTATTGGTTCAGAACGAGGCGTGATTTTTTTTTTAGTAAATGTCCATCAGGAGGAGAAGTTTCTAGTCTTGTAAACAGAAAAACAGGGATTGTGTTTGATTCACTGATGTGCATCCAGCAGCTGGCACAGAACATGCATATAATAAGCACTCAATAAATAAGCAATGAGAAACTGGGTAGGTTAATGCATAAATGAATTTGCTACTCAGTGTTCAGGAATAACAGGTAAAGCCCAACAGGTATAGACAAGTTCAGCAAATAAGCCATTTGTAGACTTAAATTGTTATTGGGAGAAATCTATCGAACTGTGTCAAGAGATCTTTACTGCTTAGTATAGCCATTGTGAGTGGATTCTTATGGATAGAGCTCTGTCAGCATATTCCCAAAGAGAAACAGAATGGAGACTCCTGTTGGTTGAAGTGTGTCCCCCTCAAGAGATGCTGAAATCCCGACCCCTAGTATCTTTGCATAGAAACATAGGGAAGTTGGATCTTTTTGATCTTCTTTGAGTTAAGATAGGATGACTAGAGAAAAGCCATCTCATGATTGTCTTTCTTATAAAAAGAGAGACATCAGAGAGGAAAGACTACATGAAGAGACAGAGGATGACTTCAGCAAGCCGAGGAACTGAGACTACCAGACGCTTAGGAGAGAGGCTTGGGCAGGCTATCCCTCACAGCCAACAGCAGCAGCCAGCCCTCCTCCACCTTGTGTTAGTCTCCTAGCCCCAGAACTATGAGACAATAAATTTGTATTGTTTAAGTCATCTAGTTTGTGGGACTCTGTTATAGCCGTCCCGCCAAACTAATTCAGGGACTTAGACATAAACCTTTGATTGGAAGTT